AAGGACGTTTTCAAAACTTCTCAAGATTTATATATTTGATTTGTATTATACACATGGCAGACTACTGAGGGTATTTCAACCCAACCCTTATTAGAATTTATGCTATGGTCCTGCTTCTCTGAGGTAAGCCTTATTTGCGTTTGTTTTTATTATTTTATAAAGTTGTAAATATCTTAAAACACCCAGACATGGAATTTCTAACATATGCAACTTTAAGCTATTCTATTTCATATTTTTAAGTTCTGTTATTTATAGTTACATTGTATTCGAAAACTGTTTGAGTCTTAATTGTACGGTGGATTGTTTGTGTCTTTATTTGTCGGTTCGATGTTCTATAATAACTGTTGTGAAGTATAGCAATTATTGCATTGTGCATATTGCACTGTAACGTTTCACAGCGTAAATTATATGTCTATATTATTCTGTGTATGATATTTAATAGGTCTCATAGATCATTCCTGTAAAGTCGTGTAGAGATGGCGGCCCGTACCAGTCACATCTCACAGTCTTGAACGCAAGACGGACGTATAACCTCCTCGGCACTGGAGAGGGGGAGTGTAATCTCTTCGCTCTGGAGAGGGGTGTCTGAGCCTCCTTAGCGGCAAGAGACAGTAGTGTGTTCCAAACACCGTTTGGAACCATAGACTACCGGCATTCGGGGGACACGGACGACCACACACCAAAGCAGTTTATTTTGTTGTATAATATTTTGTTAATTAAAATGTAAAGTTTAAATGTAGAAAAGATTTTCTGTTATTTATCAAAGAGGAGTTTGGATCACTATTCTCTACGCAAGGTCATTATTTGACAGCCTATTTTACCAAAATCAACAACTTACGACTTTTCAACTTTATACTCAACCATTCCCACCGATAAATTAAAGTCCAGGCTTTTTGATATCATTGACAGCTGCTTTTTCAATGAAAATGGAACTCGTAAATTTTCTTACATTGTCATTAGTCATCTGGACAATTATTGTGATAAAAAATACCGGTATTCTGATTGTACACACAAGTATTCTGAAGTTGACATCAAAAAGATGCTTGAGTTTCTGATTGACAATATCTATGTGGTTCTTGGAGGCAAGGTATACTAACAATCTATTGGAATTCCCATGGGTACCAATTGCACAGGGGCTGTTATCAGCAGACCTATTTTTGACTTCACATGAAGCAGAATTTGTGCAAAATCTTATGCATGAAAAGAAGAAAACACTTGCTGTGGCCTTCAACTCGACATGTAGTATATCGACAACGTATTGTCAATTAACAATGGTAATTTACGATCTTATGTCGATACGATATATCATGGTGAGCTTGAGATAAAATGATACCACAGAGTCTGACACAACTGTTTCATATTCAGATATTTTACTAGTACTGAAAAAGAAGGTAAGTTTTTTTAAAAAAAGAACTTTGACTAGATACCTCATATAGAATATTGGAGATTCTCCTCTATACAATCGTGGTGTGATTTTGAGTCTGTTGAAATCAAAGGAAATAAATGGTACATGTATATTTTCATTGGTTGGTTTATAATTAACTTTACCTAATGTGTATACTAGTACACAAGATCAACTCAAAAATAGCGACTTTCGTCAAAGGTATGTGAAGAGGAATTATATCTGAAAATCTTGACATTTTTAAGATGAACTTGTGTCTAGACTGTCTTTTTACGACTCAATGAATAAACAAATAACTTAAATCAATCGGATGTTTTCATGAAAATCCGGTATTAACCTTTGCATGAAAGGAAGTAAATATTATAACTTTGTAGCATAAATGTCAGGTTAGAAAAATTTGATTCAATTTATAAATTTTAATTTGAATGCATTGGATAACACTATAAAAAGTGATATTTCATGCTCGCTCCCATGAAAGCGATCTTAAACCGATTAAGAATTGATTTTTTGCGGATATGAATTATATATTTTTAATGAATGACATTTTAGCAGAACTATTTTTAAAATATTGTTTTATATTTCTATTTTTCCTTTACTAAGAAATCAATTTTCAGTGTATATGATTATTTTCATAATGGATCATTTCTTTTTTATTACAGTGTTTCCTGTAATTGTCGACCCATTAAACTTTTATTTGTTTGTCTGATGTTTAAATAATGCCCCTCAAGAGATAATTTTTTTAAACTCATATGGAGACGCCACCACTTGTCAACTCTCAGAAGCATGTCAAACTCCAAATGTCAAGGTCAAAAGAGTTAGTACCCAAAGGAAGGTCTTGTTATTACAAGGAATACACCTTTTAAATGAAGCCCTAGTATTAACTGTTCAAAAGATATGACCGAGTTTAATGTTTTTAAATAGTGGGTCAAACTCTCAGGTCAAGGTAAACAAAAATATACCAGCCGAAAGATCTTGTCACAAAAAATACACATGTGAAGTATGAGAGCCCTAGCTCCAACTGTTCAAAAGTTATGACCAAGATTAAAGTGCAGTATGTTTTGTATAAGTAGGACAAAAGTCAAGGTCAGGGTCAAGAGGTCAATTTTGGTGGTACCCCAAAAAGATCTGGTCACAAGGAAAGCCTGTGAAATATGAAAGCCATCACCCACTCAATAGTTATGTGCTAGGTTAAAGTTGACAACAGACAGAGAGAAAAACAGTTAAACCGACTTGCAAACAGACAAGACAAAATGAATACCCCCCCCCCCCCGGGATCTTTCTACTCGGGGACCTAATAAAGAATATTAAATGCCTGTGAGGAAAAGCATTGTTATATGAAAAAGATGAAGATACAAACACAGAGATTGTCTCCTGCGTGGCGCAGTAGGCAGAGCGTTTGGTCTAGAGTCGCTGATTAAGGAGCAGATCCTTTTATTGCGCGACCGAGTCCCATTGTGGTATGTAGAGACCAGTCACAGCTGCCGTGATTATTTTTTAAAATCTGCGGTATCTTCACAGAAATAGTTACCTTAAATCAATTATTTAACAATTGATCACATGGATAAGGTAATTGAAGATGCCTTTCGATTATTCTTTCTATCAAGTTACACACCGGTGATTGAAAAGGTACAAAATATTGATATCTTTTTTTAAAAAAAAAACCATACCTCTCACATAATAATTTTATGTTTTTTGATCATGATGTTTGAAAATAGCATCTGTTCCTATAGAGTCAACACTGGTTAATGAATAATAAAAAAAATTTAAGGCATATCTATTGAAATATAATGAATGATTTATACCGTTTTATCGAAGCACAAACTTTTATGATGGTTATTGTAACCATTTGAAACATATCGCATTATGGCTTGGTTCCTTTGTTGCAGGAAAATTGTATTTATGGCATTATTAGACATTGCATTGTGTAAGTAGTTTAATTTTTTCTCTCTTTCTCTCATGTGTTGTGTTTTGTAATTAATACTACTAATTATTATAACTTATTATTCTTTTAGATTAAAATATTTTAAATAATAATATTAATATTTATTATTGAACATATTTTGATTATTATAATTTTAAACGAACAAAAATAATATGTTGATGCATGTAGATTTTAATTACTTAAGCGGAGATCGGTTAATATTATAATTCAATGTTAGAAATAAGAAATATTTGGCCCACCGAGGTAATTTTTTTAAAAGCTTTTAATTTTTTTCGGTAAATATTAGTTTACAGTTTCGCTTGTTTTGTCAATACTTCATTTTTGTCAAAGAATGATAATTAATATGTAGACTTTATTCTTAAATACTCAGTTGAATTACTATTTCTTATCGATTTTTGAGCAAATTTTGAATTTTAATAGACGAAAAATGACAGTAAGGAAAAATTTTAAGATTTAAACTCCATTCAAGCAATACAAATCAGGAGCAGAGCACGGACCTTAATCTTCAAAGATGGGATCAGGTGCCAGGAAGGGATGAACATCCCCTGCCGACCTGTCACACGCGCCGTGTGCTCCCGGTCATGATCGGGAAATAGCGGGACATTCCGTTGACAATTCACTGTGTAAATAATGGCATAACAATTATCGGTAGTATGGAAAAAGTTTTTTTTCAGCATTTGCTTTAATGTTAGTGTAGCTTATCTGCCAGTGCCATTGAATTGACCGTAGAACTTGTATTTACGTATATACGTAATGATGACTTTCAAGGGGGCTTGCGTATTGAATCAGTTTACAAATAAAAACCCGTATGCAGGTGATAGAGTACTGTGCAGCAATATATTCAAGAAGTGGTGTGAATCAGATGTGGATACTAAAACATTCCAAAGAACTTTTGGACAGTTTGAAATCACAAATCAACAGCTTAAAAACCTACGGATTTTCAACTTTATACACAACCATTCCCATGATAAATTAAAGTCCAGGCTTTTTGATATCATAGACAGCAGTGTTTTTCAATAAAAATGGGACTCGTGAATTAACTTACCTAGTCATAGGTCATTTGCAAAATTAATTTGTTAAAACACATTCTGATTGCACACACAAGTACTCTATAGTGGACATAAAAAACACGCTTGAGTTTCTGATTGACTACTAAGTATGTCTATGTGGTTTTTGGAGACCAGGTCTTCCAATAATCTATTGGAATCCCCATGGGTACCAATTGCGTTCTGTTATTAGCAGACCTGTTTTTGTTTTCATATGAAGTAGAGTTTGTGCAAAATCTTATGCGTGATAAGAAGAAAACACTTGCTGTTTCCTTCAACTCGACATTTAGATGTATTGACGACGTAATGTCAATAAACAATGGTAATTTCCATTCCTATGTGGATACGATATATCCAGGTGAGCTGGTGATAAAAGATATCACAGAGTCTGACACATCTGTTTCATACTTGGATATTTTAATCGAAATAGACGTTAAAGGTAATCTAACAACCGAGCTATATGATAAACTTTATAGACTTTAACTTTTCTATCGTCAACTTCCCTTACTTATGCATATGCCTTCATCACCTGCATACGAAGTTTATATGTCTCAATTGATTCGATACGCAAGAGCATGCTCCGTGTATGAACAATATCTAAAACGTGGTAAATTATTGACAAACAAGTTGATGAAAAAAGAATATTCAGCGGCCTCATTTAAAGTCATCATTTCGTAAGTTTTATGGTAGATATAATGGACTAGTCAGCAAATAAAATACATGTATCATTTAGTCAAATATTGACTGACGTTTTTCATTCTAATTGTTAGACCATTATTAATACACGGAAATGACGACGGATTTTTCCGTTATTTCCTGATCATGACAAGGAGCACATGGCGGGTGTGACTGGTTAGCTTGGGATGCTCACTGTTCCATGGCACTTAATCCCACCTCTGATGTTTCGGAGGTCCGTGTTTGCACTGCTCCTATTTTGTATTGTTTTATGTACCTTTATATTGAATACTGTTCGTTATCAATATCCTTCAGGTTAATGTGCTGCATAAGTAAGAAAGATGACGAATGATAAGTTAAAGTCATCAGGTTTATCACAAATTATTGTTGTTAGATTACTATTAACGTCTTTTTCTAGTGATATATCCAAATATAAAACAGACATGTGACAATCTGTGGTATCTTTTATTCCAAGCTCACTGCTTTACATCGTGTCTATATATACATGTCAAATTATTTCCAAGTCCCCACTTTTATTATTTCAAAAAGTTAAAATCGTTTACATCAATTTATTAGTTGCTTACAAATTTGCCTTTAATTTGCAATGTCTACCTGTCAAGACCAAAACAAAAATGAAATCGAATGTGTTATTACTCTATCGTGACCGTTTTCGTTGAAAAGCATGAAGTTCGAGTTCCATATGTTTTTCGGGTATATTTTTCATATTTTTTATGCGGTGTATATCCACACAATATTTTGCAAGTGAAGTTGAAATGACCGAAGCTGGTTTTGTTTCCTTACACTGTATGACTTTATTTTACTTAAAACCTTCATAGTTACCGCCCGAAAGACCTACAAAGCATACCTTAATTCCTTACTACCATTAGAAATTGTTTTTCCAGCAGCAGAATCTAGCGGAACTAGAAGACGATCTAGTCAATATATGGAATAAACATTCAATAAAAGATTTTTTTTCTTCATTAGTGTGAACTCTTTGAGGAGCGGTTGTCTTGCTGTAAATTTGTTTGAATGGAGGGTAATGCAGTATTCAGCGTCAGGGTTAGGGTTAGGGTTATTATATTCAGCAATTCCTGTACGTTTCTGCATATTGTGATAAAGCGCTTCAATAATAAAATAAATTAAGTGAAAACATTTTTTTTTCTACTTTTTTATCTTGTTTACTTTTAAAAAAATACTGTCAAAATAATTTAATATAAGAGCGTAGCAAAGCAAAAACGTGCCCGGGGACTTAAAATTTTGATTAGTATATGAATGTTAACAGTTATTCTTTACTGATAATAGGTCATCGATAAATATCGACTTGAAGGCAACAGCAAGTGTTTACTTCGAAACACAAACAAATGAAAACGTCGTGGTCAAAGCGGACAAAGTTTTGAATAAAACTAGGGGCCACCAATATTGGGGGTGGGTGTGGCTGTTTTGTAACATCAATTTCCTGTACAATTCTATAATGGGGCGCTTTGACCAAATCAGGGGACCCTTTTACCTAGAAAGTTTTATTAGGGGGCTGTTTGACTGGTTCCCTTTTGTTTCTCACATGTTAAAGATTTGGTATTCATTTAACTTAATATGAATACATTAAATAAATAGGTCTGCTAATAACTGGTTGTAATTGTAACCCTTGGGAATTCCAATAGATTGTTGGAAGACCTTGTCTCCAAAACCCACATAGATTTCGTCAATCAGACACTCAAGCATGTTTTTGATGCCAACTTCAAAGTACTTGTGTGCTCAATCAGAATTTTTTTTAACAAAATAATTTTGCAAAATGACCACTGACAAGATAAGTAAATTTACGAGTTCCATTCTTATTGAGAAAACAGCTGTCAATGATTTCAAAAAGCCTGGACTTTAATTCATCGTGGGAAACAATGTGTATAAAGTTCAGAAGTCGTGGTATTTTAAGCTTTTTATTTTGATAAAATTTTGTGATCTGAAATCGTCCAAAAGTTCCTTGAACTTTTTAAGAATTCACATCTGATTTACAACACTTATTCAATATATTGTTGCACTGCATCTTCTTGAAGTTTCTCCTTCACCCTTGTTAATATCTTAGTGAAGAGTAAAGAAATCCAATATAGATATGGTAATTCAAATTCATTTTGGTTGTTTGGTATATTGAAATACTCAAAACTGATATTATTTTGAAGAATTTCTTCCTTAGAAAGGGAACAATGAGAATAAGTTGGATTACCACTTGTTTAATTAAATCTTTAACAGAATTTGATACATTTTTGAACTTAGTATTGTCATTTTTGCAAATATTTTTGACGAAGTGAAGGAATCCAGTATAAATATGGTATTTTGAAATCAATTTCTTAAATAAAATTATAAAAAATAAATAATTGTCGGCGATTAGCCTCACAACTAGTAAAAAATCTCCATTTTGTCATTCAAATACGTTATAAAATTGAATTATACCGTAACTGATAACTTTGACAAATGAGTTTTTGATATTTTTTTCAAAAGCCATGCCGATGGAATAATATGCCTTTAGGTGATATATACAGCGATAACGAACATTATTCGTGCTAAAAGTCCATTAAACATTACAAAGTAGGGGTGAAACAAACATGGACCTCCAAAACAAGATATAAGATAATATATAAATTATGTATCTGGTACTTTTTTTTTCAAATTTCTATGTTTGACAACGGAATGTATGACCATTCTCCAGGGGATGCTTACTCATCCTAGGTACCTGATTCCATCTGTACATTTTTCAGGGGACATTATTTTGGCCTTGTTCACAAATATGAATTGTTTATTAATTTAAAAAAAATTGTTATTTTCTCCTTTTTCATAATGCTTTTTGGCAGTACATTTTTGATGCGAATATATAATGTATGAAAAATAAATCTCTAAATGAAATTAGGTAAGATGAATTTTGCTGCAAAGAATTTTTAGTATGCAATGATATAGTGTTTTACATTAAAATAATTTAAAACTATTATGTTTTTAGGCATCTGTAACTTAGGACAACTACAAAAAGAGACTGCCTCAATGTCGTCTGTATATCGATATAGGGATACGAATATCGCTTTAAATGCTTCGGGGGCATTAGACGGGAAGTTTCGTAACCACATGAAGGGTGATTGTGCTGGAACAAATGTTGAAGAAGCATATAAACATGCATGGTGGAATATTACTCTATCACGTTTGTGGAGAATTTACAAAATCAACATCATTTTCAGAGAAGATTGTAAGTCTTTTCTTCAAAAGCATTGTTCAAGGGATCTGCTGCTATTTAAAATATTTTAATACAGTAAACGTTTTTACATTCATGTACGACCTTGGAAATATTTGACAACTCACTTTAATAACACCTAAATGTGATATTTATCTAAAACATGTTGTTTGACATATTGTATTCTTTTTAAACATGACAAAAAGCAATCACCCATTTGTTACTTTAAAATAATTATTTTTTTTTAAATACGACAACTGTGGTTTCATTAATTTTCATTGGCATCAATTTTCGTGGATTTTCTAAAACAAGCGTTTTCGAGGATGGGTAATTCCTGGGCAAAGGCATTCCCATTACAAATGAGTAGCATACTGTGAACAAACTTTAATTCGCGTACAAGAAATTTTCGCGAGTTTCGCGACATCATCGTAATCGCGAATATATCTCGCCGCGAAATGATCCCTAAAGTCTCTGTGTCTTTAACAACAAAGCTTCATCGCGAAAATGAATCGTCGCAAACTAGTTTACATTCATTAAATTGCAAAATAAAGTCGCCGCGAATAAAAGTTGGTTTACAGTATTTCTTAATTCAATGAACACTTAAATTCGTGGATCTGATAAACAACGAAATCCTCGAAAACTAGTACTCAACCACAGTATCAAGTGTCAATATCATTCATAAAATATTATACAAATATGGATCCAATCTAGGTCAATATGCATTTATAATGATTCAGGATGACAGATATTGACCGAAGATACATGGAGTATATTGACGGAGGGCGCTAGCCCGAGCGGTCACACCCGCCATGTGCTCCTTGTCCCGATCGAGAAACATCAGTTTGGTGGGGTCAAGTGCCATTGAGGAGTAAACATCCCTGCCGACCGGTAACACCCGCTGTATGCTCCTTGTCATGTTTGGGAAATGAAACATGGAGATAACGAACAGCATTCAATATCAAAGTCAATATAACAATACAAAATAGGAGCAGAGAAAACATGGACCTCCAAAACATAAGAGGTGGGATCAGGTACCATACAGGAGTGAGCATCTCCTGCCGACCGGTCACACCCGCCGTGTGTTCCTTGTCATGATCAAGAAATCACGGAAAGAATCCGATAATTCAGTGTATAAATATTAGACTAACAATTAGTATGAAAAATGTATATTTGGTGTGGATTGACTCCTGATAATTTATATTTGCTGACAAGGTCATTGTATCGACTATAAAACTGCTTACGAAATGATGACTTTTAACAAGACTGATATTCTTGAATCATCAATTTGTTTTTCAATAATTTATCTCGTTTTAGAAATTGTTCATACGTAGAGCATGCTTTTGCGTATCGAATCAATTGAAATACATAAACACCGTATACAAGTGACGAGGGTATGTTTCTGCACTAGTAAATTACTAACTGGACTAATTTTTATTTGTCTAATTTATTTTTTAATATGATTTCAATATTTTGGGTGAAATGGAAAGAAATTTTGACTTTTATTACCAAAGTGAATATAATTTCATAGATTTACGAAGGAAGTTGTTTATGATTTCAAAAGTGTTCCGAAACAAATGTTATGGCTTTATTCACTTATTTCCAAAATCATATGATACAAGTATTTGCGGAAACAATGACATGATTCCATTTAATTTCTTGCAATTTTTTTCTCATTCTGATTTGTGTTTTGTCTTAATCCCCTATGGAGAATTAATGTAGATGTAAATGCGCTTTATGTAATTGACTAATGCAATTTGGCGTTAAAGGAATACAAAATGTATTTAAAACCTAGGAAAGTGAATAAACTTGCAATTCAATGACGATGTTTATTATTAATCCAATGCAAGAATTTCATGATGATTTCCAAGGCTATTGGCCAATGCAAGAATTGCACGACTATCAAAGGGCCAATACATGTAGTGAAACTCTCTCTCTCTCCGTGGTGATTACAGGCATTGCAAGGCTCTCTCAAGGTTCAATGCAGGCATTGACTGACTCTGTCAAGGTCCAATGTAGGCATTGGGCGACTCTCCTTAGAGCCAGTGCAGGCATTGACTGACTCTCTCAAGGTCAGCATTTCACTAAATCATAGATAGTCTTATCTGGCAATGTAAGTAAAATATCCAAATATTAATCAAATATTTCAGACTCAGTGGTATCTTTCTAGAATAAATAACAGCACTCTTTTTTTATCAGAGATAATTTACATCTATAAATTATTCTAAAATATTTTTGAAAACAATTATTGATAAGAATGGTTTGCTTTACACTTATTTCCTACATTTTTTATGTCTAAATAATTCATTCTGACATGAAATAAGAACAAATGCTTCAAGGAATAGAAGGAAAGCTTTTAAAATATCCTATAACTAGAATTTTTATCTCTTTTAAATCAAGACTTTCGCCATAACGGTTACTACGTATACCTCAATAAGGATCCTGTTGACATCAGTGGTCTCGCCAGTCTACCTGCCGTGTATCGGGGACACCTGGTACACCCTAGTACACAAAACGTCATCCTCTTCCCTGAGGGACACCAAGGAAAGCAGCAGTTGTCCATTTATCTGAACAAATCTGAACCTGAAGATACCGACGGGGATGAAAAGAACAACGTCCTTGATATTTGTGAAGTAGAAATACTAGGTACGCAATCTTTCTTACAGTCCCTCTCTTTATCTCATTATCAGTAATAGAAATGAAATATGGGGAAAACGAAGAGCCATCAAGATTAAAAGTCCATTAAAACAATACTAATCGGGAGCAGAGAAAACACATACCTCTAAAACGAACGAGAACTGAGATTAGGTAGCATGAAGGAGTAAGCTCCCATGTGGATCAATCGTACCCTCCTTGCGCCCCTTGTAACGATCAGAAAAACAGAAATATCCGTAGACAATTCAGTGTGTAAATAGCCTTATGATAAGTATGAAAATAGCCAGCCATTCGACTTGTATTTGCTAGAAAGGTCATTGCATCGACCATAGAACATTGCGAAATAATGACTTTAATTCCTTGTTTAATTAACGTGCTTGTCTATCGATATATACCAGCAGTCGAAATAATAAACTCGAAATCAAAATAAAACAGTGGAACGAGTTTCCACAATTGTTTTATATTTAAATACTTAATACACAGGATAAATTCTGATTTTTCATCGTCAAATAATTTTCTATATTTATGGAACAAAATTGAAACATCCTCTGCACATGGTCTTTATTGCTTTTAATTGATACGAAGTCCATGCTCTTAATATAATTCATGTTAACTTTTAAACCAGGCAAGCTACTGACACTGCAAATATCTTATATAAAAAGGATTTTTAAAAGCTACATTACGTCAGCTGATGCCATTCTCTACTGCCTTTATAATGAGATTGATTTAAGAGGCAACCTATTAATTGATCAAATTTTGAAAGACATGGTTACAACATCGTTGGGTTATTACTGGAATTCTACATTAAAAATTTATATTTACATTCAGTGTAATTTTCCTTATGAAATCCATTAGAAATACACGACGTTCAAATTTCTATAACACACGTGAAACCTTGTCACCACGCGTTAGAATACACAGTAGGAACTACATGCATTTTCAATACTCTAGGAACACCAAAATGTAAAATGTTTTATTTCAATTTAATGAAAAACTATAACCCTGAAAAATTAACGTAAAAATTAACGTAATGTGCATTAAGAATTAATTTGTCACTTTTTTTCCTCGCAATGTTTGTTTGCGTTATTTAACTTTGCAACGTCATTTAACGTCATTTGACGTCACAAAAGGCTCTTACATCTATTAACCACGGCAGTTTTGAAGGGCGCTAAATTCAAATCTAAGATTAACAAAATAAGCAATTATGAAAAAGGAAAATTATAGAATGTAAATATAAGCATTGAATTCATATTTTTGGATGTCTTCGATCCTATAACACACCAGCGGGTCGTTTTACAAACGAACTTACGACTAAGACCAAAAAGTTTAAATGTTTGTAAAATTTTGCAATATTAACCATTCTCTTTGAAATTGTTTCTGTAAAAATATCTAACCACATTACTTTAAAAAAGTTTAAAATAATTTTCGATATAAAGTTAATTAAAAAAGTTATATGAAGAATTAAATTTGGTCTTAAGTCGTAAGTCCTTTTGTAAAACGGGCCCCTGGCCGTGCCGACAAATTATCATACCGCGCTAACGCGCGGTATTCAATTTTTCGGCACGGCCAGGTGTGTTATAGGACTGAAGACATCCAAAAATATGAATTCAATGCTTAAATAACACAGTCGCTGGCCTAAGTGACCAATATAATGTGCGTACGGGATTTGTGATCCTTCGACATGGGATTCTTTCTTCTCTTAGGTACCTGATCCTTGCTCTAAGGTTTTCAAGAGTTCGTGTTTTTACCCTGAATCTTTTTTGATTTATGAAACTGGATCTCGTGACCAACCCGTATTTATATCTTGATAAATGTTTTAAAATTATACCTTATTTCTTACTTAATATACTCATGTTTCTATGGTGGTGTCTATTCTACTCTTTGCACAATTATTATACATTAAATATATTATCATACCTCTACTGTAATTAATCTATATAAAATTAATACCATAAAACTGGCTCTTTCCCCGAGAAGAGACTATTGTCCTCATCTGAAGACTGCTCCTTGGAAAATTAGAGCTACTCCCTGGGACTACTCCCTCATGAATATTTATTAGAAATTTTAACCAGTCAACGTGTTCAGTGGGCGGAGCGCTCAAGGAATCTCGAGTCTGTGACGCTGTGTTATAAGCAATGTAACTATGACGTCAAAACATTTCAACATGCCATGTCAAAATCATACTTCAATTCTAGCAAAATTAAGACAACGATAATTCTTCGAAATGTCAGTGAAAATACTGTTTAAAAATAATTTAATTGTTTTAGGCCAAGATGCATTACTAAACATACAATCTGTTACACCGCATACATTTGTAATTATGCCTCTACAGTGGTTTTTTTAAAGTCGGAATATCTAGTAAAAAAATTAAATCGACTATGATTGTTTCGGTATAATAAAACAGTTATGGAATGTGAACTCGAGAAATAGCAAATTTATTGTTCCCCTCGGCGGCTTCGACGCCTCGGGAAATAGTTTTTTCCCTCGGGGAACAATAAATTTACTATTTCTCTCGTACCCATTTCATAACTGTATACTATTAATGTGTTAATATCTATTGCACTGTCACGTCTGGCTCTATACAATAAATTAATTTTTTAAAAACAATTGAATTTAGGTTGTGTAAACAAGAAAGGTAGAGGTACCCGAGACATAGGATGCGCATGCCCGGAGCAGGCGGAATACCCAGCTGGTGAGTAGCTTCTGAAGAATCTTTAGCTTTGAGTATTTTTTCCCAGAAGTTATGTTTGGATAGAATAGCATGCTAATCAATATTTTCTAGAAATTCACACTGGTACTTGGAGTATGGACCCCCCCCCTCCTTTCCTTTTTTTTTTCTTTTTAAATCTGGGGTCGAGTCACCCTTTTCCTATTTTTGTATTCTAATATGCACTATATATTATCGAACATCAATTTTTATATATTTAACTCTTTTGTCTCTATAAGCTGTTTTTATAAATATCGTTTTCGAGTGATACATAAAACATGTAAAGAATTATGCATCAGTCGAAAACGATATATTTAAAAATAGCTTGTAGAGACAAAAGAGTTACATTATTGATAAATATAGTGCATATTAGAATAGAAAATAGGAAAAAGGTGACTCGAACCCAGATTTAAACGAAAACAAAAATTGGAAAAAGGGGGTGGATCCATACCCCAAGTGCCCCATAGTGCTTCGAGTGCTTCATACCCCACGAGACTTCACAGTCTTAGAAGTTAAAAGTTTTAATAGCCATTCTCTGTAACCGCGTAAAGTTCTTTGCCACACCTAGTCACTGCATGATACCATTTTTTAATATTTTTTGTACAGATGCTTTGAAGACGGAGATTGCTTTTCCCAGCAATGGAAACTCTATCACTATCCAGTGCTATTCGAAATATATCATTATACTAAATGTATCAAGTCTTCAAGAGAAATGTAATTTTAAAAAGAAATGCACAACAAATACTAAAGATATCCTCCATACTATATTTTTCCAATGTTCTGGTGAGTATGTCGGGACTAGTAAGATAATATGTTAATGGTATACATGTATTATATTTAAGAAATTATTGATAGAAATAACGTGTGGTCATTTCCAAGTTCTTTTCATCATATGAGAGGTGCTGTTCTACAATAATGAATTCATTAGCTTTTCAAGTCAAATGCTGACTGTATTTTATTTCAATAGTCATTGTTACTTAAAGCCATTATTTACAAACAGAATGAATTGCACGTCTACGAATTTTTCCGTTATTCCCCGAGCATACATGTAAAAGAAAACACACGGCGGGTGTGACGGGTCGGCAGGGGATGCTCACTCCTCCATGGCATCTCTGATACTTTTTTTTGGTCTGTGTTTGCTCTGCTTCTGATCTGTATTAATTGAATGGACTTTTGAAAATTGTCATTTCACAATTAGTGCCCATCAAACGGGAAAGAATTTTAAACTAGAAAATATATTTTCTCTATAATGCTGTTTTCCAACCTGTTCGAGAAATGTTACTCCTATACAATAGTTATCATATACTGGTAAAAGGCTTTAGACCTTTACTCGATACTCGGCACTCACTGCCATAGGGGGATCTTAATCAGATAACACCTGTCGTTGAGTGAGGGGGCCTTGGTTTTAAGGTCTCATACGAAAAACGAATCCCGCATCATTTTTTCCAAGAGCTGTGTTTTTATTGAAGTTACACATTGCTGTCTATTTTTATTGACCTAGCTCAGTCGCGACGGACGGTTGAACCCATAACTTTTCGAGAACAAAATAAGAGTTCTACCAACTAAGCTACCGTAACAGTTTCTAAATAAGCTTAGTTAAAACAAAGTAGTGTGAAATCCAATTTTTTTGTGGGAGGTCAATTTTCATAGTTTTCGAATCGTGAAGAGACCCACAAATTCATGTCCACCACGAAATGTAAAATGTGACATGCTCAACAATTCTACATCCACGAATCAAATTCCCACGAACCAAGAGTTTCTCCTCAAACCACGAAAATTTGACCCCAAGAAAATATGTGATTTTACAGTATCAGAAAATAACGTAAAGAAATCAACCGGTTAAACAAAGAATATTCTAATTTTTAACCAAATGCAATCTTTTCTCTGAACATGTCGCTTTTAAAAATAATATTCTACAGTCACACATATGTATTGTTTATCTCTAAAAAATTATTCGATACTCAAAACTTGCTCCGAGTCAAATCAAAAACAGAGGCAAAATACTGTCAAATGAGTTGAGGTTACAAGAATTTCTACAACGACATTTAAATTCAGCATGGATTCGTAAATTGTAAAATAGTTTTAATGTTATTTTCTAAAAATGAACGTATCGCTGGGTTTTTTTCTTTGATTGACATAACTTTTCCCAATTCGTAGGCATTTGTTTTATATCAATTTGACTACTGATTACCCCGTCTATCTAAAAAAAATACATAGGATACTCACGATACTGATGCTATTCTGAAAACATGGTACATTGGTGATCATATTTAAAGTTTTCGTCACGTCTTAACAGAGTTCTGCCTCAATCTCACATATGATGAGTTGACAACTGAAATTGAAGACAATTCGAAAGGGTACTACCTAGAGAATGAAATTATCACACTCCGATGCAAAGAAAACCATAAGCTCTTTAGCGGTGATCTGAAGAGAATGTGTAAAGGCAATGAGTCATGGAATGGTGAAGAGACTGTTTGCAAAAGTAAGTATTTTTATTTTTTTAAAGATCTATAGTAACAATCACTGTTTCTTTATGGTTGATTCTAAGTTTTTACTTTCAGATGCGGAAATACTCAGTTATAAAGCGTTAGAGTAATACATACATACATTTACTGTACATATATATCAATCCCTTCGAATGAATTTCACTCACGGATTTTTCATTTTGAAATTAAAAAGGTGAAGGTAAAGAAAAGCGAATCATTCTCGAAGACAAGAAATAGCAATTTTTTTTCGAAAACAATTACAATAAGACAACATTTAATATACACTTACTCAAAAGTTAGGGACCATCACTTTTTTGTGAAAATTCTTTAAACATTTCATTAACTCAGCAAGGCCGTAACTACCATTGAGGCAAGTGAGGCAAATGCCTCACTAAATTTTGAGAGTTTTCTGAAAAGTGAAAACGTTTTACGAATCTATCTATGAATTATGAGTGTCTTCATGCTAAATTAATATTTTAACTTTTGTTTCAATTTCTGTAAATGCTTCATCTCAATAGGTGCCCCATTTTCGTTAAGAACGCATGTAAAAAATATAAATCAAATTGTTTGTTTGTTTAATATCCCTTCTAAAAATTTCTCATTCATATTGAGACAGCAGTACTTGCCAGTGGAGGCTGCAAGTTTCTTAATCCGTACTTTCAGGGTCACGGAAGATAGTTCTTTTTGTGTACACTGTACCATTTATACTTTATAGGACCTCATTTTTTACAGTCTCATCTGAAGGATCGGTCTCTATATCCTGCAGTGGGATTCGAACCCGCGATACGCTCTATCTACTGTGCCATCCGGTCGACAATTCAAAATGTAAAACCTTTCTAAGATTAAATCTTTTATTTTCTAACACCAAGGTTTCAGAATACCCTCCCTGTCGAGGAAACCCCCATCACTGGCCATCACGTACTACCCTTGCCCCGTCGACGTCTGGGACTAGGAATGCCCAGCACCCTTGCCTCACTAAAATTTTGGGCCTAGTTACGGCCTTGCTCAGACCTATCCAAATAAATATTTTTATTATATGATAGTATAATTTCCATGAATGTGATTGGCGGAGATCCAAATATGTTAGAAAAATACTACGTTGTATAGACCTGCACGTGACGTTCCAGGTGAATACAAGAATTTATTTCCTCTACATTGATCTAAAAATAGATCAGGGAATTCCAAATTGATACAAGTTGTTTTGGAAAGCTATTTAAGCGACTATGACTTTTTTTCATGTGAACAAAACATAAGCGAATATATATTTTCGGGTGAGGGTGATAAGAGGGGATGCAGGGACACCCCTCCAACACTTGTACTGAACAACAATTTTTACTTTTTGGCAGTCAGTTTTCCCTGATGATACTCCTTCCTTTCAAAATCTATCCTATAAGAAATACTGACATTACATTTTTTCCATGGCAACTAAAATTGATTTAAAAAACCTTCAAATTGATACTACTGTTAAGGCTTATTTACATTTTAATTCTGCTTCTCTTTTGTATTTAGCTAGGACTTACTAGAGTAATTAAATACAAACAAGTATTGGGCTTTATCATTTTATCAGTGAATCATATAATATAGGGTTATTGAACTTATATTGGTGAATATTGGCACGAGTTGTACAGCCAACTCGTGCCAATATTTACCAATATGCGAGGGTTGTTCGAAAAGTTCGTGGACGCTGTCTTCGACATGTTACTCACTAGAAATTTAAAACAAGCACAATAAAATGTGTAAAAATATTTGTTTTGTTGATGTGTGAAGTTTCATTTCATTCGAAACTACAGAAACTAATTTATTTCATTTTAAATTCAACATGTTTTGTACCCGCGGGGCACACTAAACGGCAATGTAACGTTAAAACACAGCGTCAAGAAATAAAAAAAAAAACACTATCCCTATACATATCACAATGTGTTATCCAATACCCACTAATTAAAAACCCTTTTCTAATACTTAACATTTATTTCTTAAGTAACAATTTATTTTTCTCGATGTATAATTTCCTTTGTTAAGGTTTTAATTTCTTTAATTACTAAACTCTGCTTTCACAGGATGAGCAACTCTGAGGCGGATGTGTCTTGCCTTGACGTTCCAACTTTTAAAAGTTTTTGTTCATATTTTAAGAGTTAAACCGTTTCTTCACAGATTGTCCTCATCCGATACAGAGTCTCTGGCACTCAAATACTGCCTGTACTATTTGTCCACGTATGCACAACTCGTTTGTGACATATCTTTTATTTTTCCAACCTTTTAAGAGTTTATTCAGGATTTTTCCTGAGTATAACACAAAATTGCATCGTTATCTGCTGTTCCGTTACGTTCTAAAACGTCATCGTTTTCTCGTTTTCAATATGGACTATCTATCTTCGCAAGTTGATTTCTTTTCAACGAAGCAAAGTATCAAGCCATAATGTGGGATACGAATCGATGTGATAATTCTTAATTTGAATTTCTAGGTTGTTTTTCGTTTTTCCTCCATTTTACAGAGAATATGATTACAGACATTATTTAATGTATTGTTTGTAACTTACTAAATTTTGACATGCTCCGCGATCCGATTTTTGCATTTTTTAAATCTAGATAAGTTTTGAATAAATCGCAATATTTAAAAAAAGATTAATACAAGTCATTTGAATTTATTGTTAAAATATTTCTACCAAATTTGGATACCATATGACGTCAAATAAAAAATACAATGTATATGAGAGTTGTCCACGAACTTTTCGAACAACCCTCGTAAGTTCAATAACTTCTTTATTATATAGCTAAAACATTTCCACATAATTTATAATAATTATTCCAACTTAAAAAAGTCAAATTAATGATTTTTTTAGTATCAGTATTCAAATTAATGTATGTCTCGTAAGCGTTCAATATCGCATCATTCCGATGACCCTACCGAGCGATATGATTTGCTTTTGTAACCGGTTCTTGTTTTATATAAAATAACAAGATCGATTGTTCAGGGTGTGGATCCAAATTTATTATGGTTTTGGTAAAGGAAAAGCTCGGATCAACCCTACAATAACAGTAACATATAAGCACACACAAAACAATACAAAGACAATACAAACAGATAATCACATCTTTAACACAATCATTTATAGTTCATTTACATTTATACCGTTTGAAATAATTAGGTCACACTTCACTCAGTTCAATTATCTCTTTAAACCATTATACTTTACTTCTAATTCATAGAAATAACTTATAAACAATATTTACGTTAATCAATCTGATCAAAACCCATTTATGTAATAAGGTGAACTCCTAACTCCTTAACCAATCTAACCTCTTTTCAAATATCTGACCTAATTAACAATACGTAAAAATTAGAACAAACTTTATTTAGCAAGTTTAGATTAAAATAAATTATTTAGATTTCTCATTCATAAAGAAATTATTTAGATATTTATTTAGTAGTTTAATTATTTATTAAATTACTTACAGGAATAAGGGTGGTCTCTCCAACACTATGAAATAGGTATTTTCACTATATACAGATATACACCCTTCAGAAACCAGTTTTCAGAATAAGGGAAATCATTATAATAATTCCCGCCAATTCTACCTTAGAACCAATCAACCACACTGACCAATAGAAATCAATGTACAACTGAATAATGGAATAACCCATTCACTACATTACCTGGTAGTCTACCTGGAATACAACATTTAACTAAATAGGGGTGTTTAGGTTTATAACAAATACTGAACAAGACAACATAGAGTGTTAGTAAATCGCATTGCGCAGCGCTGAATGAATGAGTGAATGACTGAATGAATAAAATAAAGAATGAGAATAAAGTGTACAATTTAAAATACATGTCCTATAAATATAAAAAAGTACAACTACCACACTTATTTAGGTTTTAATGGGTTTAATGCGTACAAAATTTTTAATAAATAATTTCATTTTGTATGAAAAATAAACACATCTTACCTAGATGCCACTTCATTTCGTTAATTTAGCTCTGAGAATTTGACCAGATGACTTTTTTTGTTTACAACGGGGCGTTCGATGTTGAACGCTCGTGTTCGGAATGTTTCGGGCATACTCGTATACGTAATATAAACTCAGCGTTCAATAAAACGTCAAGATATTGAACGCTAAAATTCTCTAGATTTTTGGTAGTATCTTATTTTATTATATGATTGAATAATTTCCATCTCTCTGATTAGCTGAGATCCAACTATGTTTGAAAAATACTACGTTGTATTGACCTGCACGTGACTTTCCCGGTGATAACAAGGATTTATTTCTTCTACCTTGAACTAAAAATAGATCAGGAAATTCCAAATTGACACAAATTGTTTTAGAAAGCTATTTAAATGACTATGACTTTTTTTTTTACATGTGAACAAAGCATAAGTGAATGTATATATTTTTGGGTGAAGGTGGTGAGGGCAAGGGATGCAGGGACCCCCCTCTTACACTTTCACTGAACAACAATTTTTACTTTTTGGCAGTCAGTTTTCCCTGATAATACTCCTTCCTTTCAAAATCTATCCTATAAAAAAGACTGACATTATATATTTTTTTCATGGCAACTAAAATTGATAAAAAACATTTCAAATTGATATAAGGTTTATTTACATTTTAATTCTGCTTCTCTGTTGTAATTGGCTAGGACTTAATTAAATGCAAACAAGTAATGAGCTGTATCATTTTATTAGTGAATCATATAATAAAACAATTATGCTGTTTTTTTCGGCCAATACAATGATTTAGCCATATTCGAAGTACAATATTCACCTCGCCCTGTCCTTCGGGCGAGGTGAATATTGTACTTCGAAGATGGCTAAATCATTGTATTGACCTCAAAAAACAGCAATAATTGTATAAGAGACTATTTAATAGCTATATAAAAATAAAACAATTATTGCTGTTTTTCGGTCAATACTATACAATTATTTCTGTGGTTTTTTTAGGTCAATACAATGATTTAGCCATCTGAGGAGTACAATTTCGGGCGAGGTGAAAATTGTACTTCGAAGATGGCTAAATCATTGTATTGACCGAAAAAACAGCAATAATTGTCTTATTATATGATTCAATGATAAAATGATACAGCTCACTACTTGTTTGCATTTAATTAAGTCCCAGCCAAATACAACAGAGAAGCAGAATTAAAATGTAAATAAACCTTACCAATAGTATCAATTTTAAATGTTTTTTTTAAATCAATTTTAGTTGCCATGAAAAAAATATATAATGTCAGTCTTTTTTATAGAATAGATTTTGAAAGGATGGAGTATTATCAGAGAAAACTGACTGCCAAAAAGTAAAAATTGTTGTTCAGTAAAAGTGTTGGGGGTCTTTCTGCATCCCGTATTACCACACTCACTCGAAAATATATATTTGATTATGCTTTGTTCACATGAAAAAAAAGTCAGTCGTTTAAATAGCTTTTCAAAACAATGTGTATCAATTTGGAATTTCCCGATCTATTTTTAGATCAACGTAGAGGAAATAAATCCTTGTATTCACCTGGAATGTCACGTGCAGGTCAATACAACGTAGTATTTTTCAAACATAGTTGGATCTCAGCCAATCAGGGAGATGAAAATTATTCAATCATATAATAAAATGATTTAGCCATCTTCGAAGTACAATATTTACCTCGCCCGAGTCATCAATTGTCAACATTTTATAAGCATGGATATTTAATAATGTGTATATCTACCACGACTTTTGTGGAGTTCTTTCACAAGCCTTTTCATACTGTGGACAAGTCGTCTTATGTGGTTTTGGGGGAGCTGTCTTCATTTCTGAATTAAAGCGTATTTTAATTCTTGTACGTTTTCACATCTTGGGGTCCTCTAATTAATTCTTCGACCAAGTTAATCCCACATATGTTCAATTGAATTCATATCTGGGGACATGGCGGGTCAAGGCATAGTTTCAATAGCTTCTTGGCGAAGATAGTCTTGAACTATTCAGGCCCGATGAGGTCTAGCGTTGTCATCCATTACTACAGGTCGACTTGCTAATGAATGATCATCGAAATGAGGCACATCTAATAGGCTTAGTATGTTGTCCCTGTACTTTTGAGCAGTTAAGGTGCCATCAAGAATGTACAGCTCCAGTTTATATTGCAAAGAGAAGCATCCCCATATTGTTACACCGCCTCCATCAAAGGCCTTCGTTCCCAATACATGCTGTTGTTTGTATGCAGAATTTGGATGTCTCCATACCCGAACCCTGCCGTCTACCAAGTGAAGCAAGAATTGGCATTCATCTGACCAATGTATTCTCTGCCATGACCGTACATTCCACCTCCTATGCTGTCTTGCCCATTGTAATCTTGCTTCTTTGTGTCTCTGGGATAAGCGTGAACGTTTTATTTGCCGACATGATCGCATCCGTTCTTTGTTTAGCCTCCTGTTAACTGTGCCTCTACTGATTCCAGCTTGAGTGTTCCACCTGCTTCTCAGCGTGTTTGCAGTGTCAAAAGGACTCTGTTTAGCAAGTCGTTTTAGAAGTCTGTTTTCCCTTTCTGTGGTCTTTCGGGGTCTTCCAGATCTTGTAGCTTCATCCACACCCCCAGTTCTTCTCCAGCGCTGTACCAGACGCAAAATTACAGTGTGACTGACGTTAAAGTGATCACCAACCCTCCTATACGTCATTCCAGTTCTTACCATTCCAATAGCTTGCCAACGTTCAGCATCCGATAGTGTCCGACGAGGCATGGTTGCACAATACTTATAACTGTTTTCCCTATCGGTAAAGCTCATGCGAACATTGATGTAAATACAGTTGAAAATTGCATTGTTCGAACACGCATTGATGGCCTTGAAGAAACCTGTTTTACAAGTATTTTAATAGAGATATCCAGGTAACATAGAAACAAATAATTAATAAACGTTTGATTGACTAGTAAATCTGAATTTATTCAATGAAAAATATTTGTTTCACTTTCAATTTTCATATTAAAGTGAGTGGTCCTTAACTTTTGAGTAAGTGTATATTTGTGATATTTCTATATCAGAAAACCCACCCTTGCACAGAAAAAGTTTAAATTATTAATTTTATTTGGTGTAGTTAAAATATAGTCATATATGTAGAAAGCATATTTTCAAGCATATTACAAGGTGAAGAGAACGACATGTGAACGATCGATTATTAAAAAATAAACGTGTCAGACTAAGTGATACCAGTATTTTTTTTATTTCAAGCTCACCAGGATATATAGAATGGACCCAAGAATGGAAATACGTATTGTAAATATATATCTAGATGTCGAGTTGAAGGCTACAGCAAATGTATTCTTTTTTCACTGTGAGATATTTTGAACAAACTCTGCTTCATATGAATACAAAAATAGGTCTGCTTAAAACAGGGCGCAATTCGTAACCAATGGGACTTTCAATACATTTTGGAAGACATGGTTTTCAAAAATCACATAGATATTGTCAATCATCTTTTTCCATCAACATCAAAGTACATGTTTGTAGAAAATATGGTCATTTAAATTGATATTGGGTGATGAAGTATAAAAATGTAATCAAAACTGACATGGATTGGAAGAATTCTCATTAGAAAGGGAAATCTGAGTATAACTTAGATTACCAGATGTAGAATTAAATTCCAGTTCCTTTAAAAAACATTTTAAACAATGAGCCGCACAGACAATTTTGTTACCAGTACGTACTGACCGTGTAATCCATCCATTCTTTTTTCACGTCTGAACAATTGAACAAAGATAGTTGGTTTTTTATATTTTGCCTCTCAATCATTTTAATTTAAGAGTTTAACATACATCTGATACGCAACACAGTTAAGGTTACAAATGGAAATATCGGCGATTTTTTAAGATAAAAAATACATACTTTATCAGGGTGGGCGATTCCTTTTAGGACTTCACTGATATAAAAAAATATAATGTGGTTTAAATCTACATGTTTGGGACATTTAGATTTTTTATTTAGACTTGTCACGTGATGTCGACGTCACATGATTTTAGCAATTATACTTGCAGTTTAGAAGTCATCTATAAATTCCAATATTGCAGGGGCATAACCATTAAAAATCTTAGTTTAATTTATAATCCTTTTCAACACTATATGTAGTTTGTGAAAAGTGCTGCGAACCTATAAAGTTGGACAACAACTTGTTGGACGGCAGGTTGAATATTTTGCTGGTCAACTACATTAAATATAGCTATTATTCATTTATTTGCAAGATTTCATGAGGTTCGCAGCACTTTTCAAATATTTTAATGCTTCTTGAGTATATGTGTAAAAACTTGACAAGATACATTGAGGGTATGCTCTTGCAATATATTGATTTATTGGGGCACTTCCATTACTTTTTCAATGAATCTGCATACAAACACACGACAGTATCACTTGTCTGGAGAATGTACGGACAGTTTATAAATAAAATACTTAAATAGATATCGCATCCAATTAACGGCCTTTTATGTAATTGCAAATAATATTTTATTTGAGAACAAAAGACATTTTTCATTGTACAAAAAGTGTCTTGATCAGCCTCTCACTGTGTACAAACTGCGTCATTTTTGCGAGATGACGTCACATTGACAAGTGCATTGCGATCGATGCATCTTTTATATACTGTTGTGTGGTATTTAACAAACGACAAAGATGCATGTAATAGTAAGTTTGTATGTAGTATACAGCTATCCAGCTGTTTGAAATAGCAAATAATTTCATTTAGTGGTATTTTGAAGACCTTATATTACGTGTGACGTCATAGTAAACATTTCCCGTACAAATTAGGCCCCGCCTCCTTACTTTGACCTTAAAGTTCTGTGCTGCATACATTTTATCCATTCTGACAAACGTGTCAAGGAATTTTTCTTCATGTGTGGTTCAGACTAAAAAATAATTCCCATTTTTATAGCACTTGTTTGAATATTTTAGAAAAATTTGTTATGAATAAACATTCTTTACACCCATTAGTACACGTTTATAAACATCCTCAATGAAAAACTTCGGAAATCTTGTGGACAAATATCTTGTAGATTAAATTGAGTAAACTTACTGACAAAAGCTGTCTTTAATATAAATACGGAATTTGTGTTAAGTATTTGTCTGCAGGTTTAACATGTAAGGAACATTCGATATGTCGTATATATTAGAAAATTTCATGCTAGGTTTTTTCTTAAATATATTTATTTTGTTGAAGGATTTTGTCGGAATGCTGCATTCAATGAAAACACAACTCTGGTTATTCAAAGAACTCCACATGTCTTTGTGAATCAGAACGTTACCTATAAGTGTAAGACCAACCATCGGCTGGTGAGTGGCGACCTGACACGACAATGTTTGAATGACAGTGCATGGACAGGTTCTCAGCCCATATGTAAGAGTAAGCAATATCATTGTGATTTTTTTTTATATCACATCCTTTTTTTTATTCAAATTAAAGTACTTTATTGTAAGAAAAACTTTTTTTTGTTTGAAACAATATCATTGCTGCAAGAATTGCTGTTTTCTGATTCCTGTTATAAGCAATAAGGAAGGCTTTATTTTATTAAATTTATGAAGAATGTGACATTTCTAATAGAATGCCAGTGCCCCTGCAAGAGAACAAAATCTCAAAACTTCATTAAAGACAATGAAATTCTTGGCAAAGTCATTGAAAAAAGAAAGAAAAAGCTGGAAGTGAAGAAATTCGAGCTTTCATCAACAATTCGAAAGAAAACATCAGCCCCGGATGAAAGGAAGTCTGCGCAAGGAGTTGGGATGGCATTAGGAGTAGGATTGATTACTTCTGTTTTGTCAATAATAATCTGCAGTGATCTCCCTCTGTTGTGGAGACATATTAGGTATGGACCTCAACCACAAAAAAGAAAATGTAGGGCCCGAAAAATAAGACGTTAAAGTGATTCGTTTATTAAGAAGGATAATTCGTAAAGAAGATTGGGCAATTTCTTTTGTTTGTTTTTTGTAAAAAAAAAAAATAAAGTCTTTATAGTATTGCATTTTTTTTTTTGATTTTAAGCATTAATCATTTATCTTAACAGTGAATACAATATCATACAGAGAATCTATCATTAAGTCAATTGCTGAGTGCTGTTTGTCAAACTAATTGTTAGCCAACTATTTAAACATTGAATTGTCGATTGTAATTAGCTGTGACAAAAACACGCTGCGGATGTGAGCAATCAACTGGGGATGCTCACTGTTCAATGGCACCTGGCCTGGGGGCCATAAAACTTAGACGAGCTCACTTTTGATCTCAGTCTCACTTTTACACTATATATTCTTTTGGTAAAAGTGAGACTGAGATTAAAAATGAAATCGTCTAAGTTTTATGGCCCCCAGACCCTGATCCCAAACATCTGATGTTCTAGAGGCCTGTGTTTGCTCCGCTCCTAATTTGTATTTTGTAATGGCCTTTTGTGCGGGAATACTGTTTGTTACCATAAAATATATGGAGATAACGAACAGTATTCAAGCTCAAAAGTCCATTAATTAATAAATTGGAGCAGGGTAAACATAGACCTCCAAAAATTCAAAGGTGGGATAAGTGCCATGGAGATATATTTCAGTTTAAGAAATAAATACATAATGATTAATCAATTTTGAGCTATATGAAATGACGTAAATTTCATGCAAATCAAAATCAGAATAAATTATCATCAATTAGATATAAATTCATCTACAAACAAGGCAAAATCTCACTTTAAGAAGATTTATTTTCTTTTTATATCGTTGATCTTTCCAAATGAAAAGATTCACATTTGAAGGAAGCAAATGAATACGTTTTAAGTTTAAAATATTCTAGGTAAACAAAATTCTTCTCTGGTGATGGGGCATTTTTTAGCAGAACAAACATGGGCCTCTGAAACATCAGAGGTGCGATCAGCTGCCATAGAGGAGCAAGCGATTATTGTGGAGTAATACTAATGCTTCGAATTATCTTAACTTTAAATGCAAAAAAGCTGTTTATAAGCTTTATCATTGATATAATGTCTCGTTATGTCTTTATGTTTTGTATGCATTAATATTCTCATTTTCTGGTAATTTTCCTATTTTCTGTGGATAATTATGTTTATTTAGGACCACAATCTATTAAATATCTAATTCATTATGGTCATAATTTAAGTAAATATTCCCACCTTCTTTCGTTGCAGGCTAAATCACAATATATGCCATATGTTTATCTTCATATGTTTATTGTAGATCAAGTGAAACATAAAAATCGAATGTATTTAGGACGCTAGCTTGCTTTTAAAATCTCAGTGGATTTAAGTCCCAGCACGTGATTTTCTACGAAAAACGTTCTCTTGATGTAAATACTTGTGTCTTTATCTTCTGTAAATACAGACTTTACCTCCATTACTTTATTTTAAATAAGACACTACAAATATCCCTATAAGCCAAATTTTGTCCTATACTCGGAACTGACGGCAATTGAGCAGTGAGGTCTTTTCCGTACCAGCAGCTACTGCGACACGAGATCTTGGTCTATAGGTCTCATCCGAATGACCCATCTCCACGTTCCACACTTGGATTCGATCCCACAACGTAAGGATCAACTCCTTATCTACCTCGCGATCCTAGAACAGAGGCTAAATACCATACAACACGCGGGCGACCTTTCAGAATTGCAAATAATTTTGTAAAAGGGGTAAAGAGAAAGTAGAGGTAAAAATTCCCTTTAATCAACCCCCTTTAAGGACGTTCGATTCTGATATTTTGAGCGTATTTCGCGCAGGTCCTTTATTCATTAAATTAAGCATCATTTTTAGGTTCTAACAATAAAGCTGAATTCTACAATGCAAATTAAACTATATTCAATGAAAAACCGCGATTAAATTCCATTCAAGTAGAATTAAGCTGGGGACTATATTTTGTGGCGGAAGGTTTTTTAGACGAAAATGGTCAGTTTTTTTCCCATTTGAACTATAACAGTTTTTCACTTTTTCAATGCTGGTTGCACACAAAGCTGTTTTTTTGCAGTGAAATAAGTTATGCTGGTTCTGAAATAACTATTAAATTTTTTCTTATGAATTCTATCAACAAAGTGTGACAAATATAGTAAATATATTATGAAAATCCGGGGAAAAATTGAGCCAATTTTAACGTAAAATTCACACTTTTTTTTAGTAATATCTGAAAATCTGAAAATGTACGTTATGTACCCCCACTTTTGATGTTCTTTTCTAAATATTCAAGATAACTTTGACCTATTTGCTTAAAATCAGAAAAAGTTTAAGACTTTAAAATAATTTTCTTGTTTATTATATTTTCAATGCCGGAAAAATAACATTTTATTAGTGCAGAAAGGACAAATAATTGATTATGCGAAGCAATTTGAAACTTTTTCTTAGTCACAATTTTAAGTGTCTTTTTTGAAACAGACTTAGAGTTCATTTTGTTTCATGCTTTAATTGGATAAAAATATTGGAGGGAAAACGTCGAAGATGTAATTTTTAATTAAGACACAAATTTCAGTGCAGAAAGGTCATATTAAATGTACTGTAGCGCTAAAAGAAGCATATTGACCCCCATTTTTGTATGTAGAAACTAAAAATATACTTGGCAAAAAAAGTTTATGACTTTAAATATCAGGATCGAACGTCGTTAAGGTCAACTTTTCGTAAGTTATATGTTCGTTATGCTCTTCAACATCAACTGGCTAGAATAATCATTCGTGAATTAACGATTGATCAAGAGACTGTACATAGTTTTAAGCATCATGAAAATAAAATAAAACATAATATGGAGATATTAGTAATTTTGATTCGCATGTTGTGCTTCGCGCGAAATTACGAGATATTGATTAATAGGAATCTATGTAGTATATGATCTTGTTAGCAAACATAGCTTATCCTTGGGGCGTATTTAGGCTGACTTGTTTAATACCAATTGTTAGTCCATTGAATTTTTTTTATTAACTTCTCTGGCAGTGTTCTGTCTCGGTTTAAAAATTTAAGAATTACACCAAGAGCGTGTTGCTTAGTTTCAAAAATGATGGGAGACTTAAAAATCCATATGCCGGTGATTGTAAAATATGCTGTTGACAAAAAAAAAAAAAAAAAAACCTAGTCAGTTCATTTGTCAAACAATTACATATTGGTTGATAGTTGACTTGTCTTTTAAAGGTTACAATAACAAAATCAGCTTACTTGACATGTTTGATAATAGAACAAACTAATTTAAGAAATGTGAAGAGCAGTCAAGTTAGCAGGACATCTTATCTTCGGATAATAATCCGCAATAAACAGGCAGACATTGAGAGATCTTCACACAGCATTTTAATAAAGCTCAAACGATAAAAAAGATAAACGTTGAAGACAACGGACAGTTGAAGAAAAGTGAGTGTTCATTAAATTTGAAGAAGCAAACAGTAATTATGCTCAGAATTCATTAAAACTATACAAATCAGGAGACTAGCAAACGCGGTCGTCTTGTGTATCAGAAGTGGGATCAGTTGCCATGAAATAGTATTTAAAACATTACTATGACATCATATTTTGTTCTTTTAATACTTTCTATTTCTTGCAAGGCCCAAGAACAGCCCAACAAGTTACTTGAAGGTGTCCAATAAGATCTGCCCATTATCAAAAATAATGGATAATATCTTATAACTTATAGGATTGCTAGAGGTAAGCTATTGGATTAAGAAAACACTGCACAAATAAACACAAAAAAAATATTTTTAAGACAATGAATCTAGAATGTTTCATATAATCTAGTTACAGAAACACAAAAAAATGAACGTTTGTAATTATCCCAATAAATGATGAAATGTTTATATTCCAACTCACAACAATTTAATTCTGGTTGAACACTGTATTTGATTGGATAAAAATTTCACTTTATATTGTATAAAATGGGTTGCCTACGTCACAATGACTTACGTCAAAAACGTATCAATCTGCCCTGACGTTACATTCAAATTTGTACAAGTTGAGGTCATTTTGTTAGAACAATCATATTTTTTTTCTTACATCAAATGAATGAAAATTAAATTATAAGCAGTGAATTTAATAGCTACCCAGTTTATACGGTATAAACTGGGTTTGAACAGTTTACGCTTTTTTATAAACCGCTTTGCAGTTTTATAAATCGTAAACTGCCCCAACCCAGTTTATACCGTATAAAATGGGTAGCTATTAAATTCATTCCTTAAATAAATATCAAAACCTAATTTTGAAAGAAATATTTCCGAATTCTATTAGAATGTAATTTGAAACAAGCATTCTGAGAATATTGCATAAGCAATACATGTCCCCTACCGGGTTCCCCTTTTTCTATAGGACGTCATTTTATAATATGCAAAAGTTATGAGGAAGGTAAAACTGTTTGATGTTAAAATCTTAAGTTCGTGCATGCCTTTAACCTTTAAAAAAATCAACAAAAAGACGAAAATTCAACTCAAGAGGATGTCGACAGCGAAAAATGACTCCAGGTCGAAAAAGGACCCTTTTGCTCGTAGAAAAAGAGATTCAATTCAAAACAATTCAAATTTTTGGATCACTCTAAAAGGGATCATATTTCAACGGAGGTCAATTTTTTTCATAGGAATCACATATAAAATAATTACCTCTTGGGCTCTTTTTCTGCAAATTTTTTTTTCTACGTGTGTCATTTTCTGTCGTTGAAAAATGACATCCCGTTCATTATTCCATGGGAGTCATTATTAGTCTTTACACTGGCAAGAATCAATTATGATTCTTCTTTCTCACTGGTACTTTGAATAATTTTGCTCATTTTTTATGCAGAATCACACACATCGTTTTTTTTCTATAACATGAATGCAAGAATGTTTGGTCAGTAGTCTTGTCTACTCTGTTGGTTCGTTTCTGCGAATAAAACGCTTATAATTTTGTTGATTTCTTTGTCACTCAACACCTTGACGTCATATGACACGAAAACATCAACGTTTGGTACTGTGTAACACTCTCTCTG